CGTTCTTTAGTCGGGTTCAATTCTATTGGTAGGAATAGATTGAGTAAGAGCCTAGACAAAATTGTATCCTAGGAAAAGATAAATTTTGTTAATAAAGATCGAAGGAAAAAGCGTTTGCTTGGCGCGTTCCAAGCTTAACTGTCTGTGTGTTTCTCTATACATTTTCAATTGGTATCAGAGCGGACGCCTGATAAAAGATCTGTTTATCTTTTCAACAGGTGAGATCCTGCAACAGAGGGTATGGAGAAATCACAGCAATACGTTGCTATAACTAAACCGTTTAAGTTGGATCCAGAACATTACGGGTTCTGGAAGGTGCAGCTGAGACAGGATATTCAGAGTGCTGATCTTGATGCCTGGATAGCTGTTGAAGATGGATGGACAGCCCCTGTGAAAACAAATGAGGCTGGAGATGCTGTTTCAAAACCCAAGAAGGATTGGACTGCAGAGGAAAAACTTGCAGCAAAACACAATGCAACAGCTCTGTCCTTAATCTTCAAATCGTTGCCTGTAAATCAGTTCACCAGAGTTCAGGGATGTGAATCTGCAAAAGAGGCATGGGATATTCTTCAGGTCACCTTTGAAGGAACCAGCAATGTGAAGAGAACCAGACTTGACATCTTAGCGTCTGATTTCGAGAACTTGACTATGGGAGATAGTGAGACTATTGAGGAATTCAGCAGCAAGCTGAGTAATATCTCTCAAGAGGCTATAGTGTTGGGAAAACGCTATAAAGATAAGAAGTTGGTTAAAAAATTTCTCAGAAGTCTGCCGGAGAAGTTTCAGCCACATAGGTCTGCAATTGATGTCTCGTTGAATTCTGATGAGTTGAAATTTGATCAAGTAGTTGGGATGATGCAGGCATATGAGCTACAAGTTAAGAAAAAGGAGCAGGCAAGTGGAAAAAACTTTCGCACTGAATACTGTTGACACTCAGGAGTCTGCTGATGATGATAAAGTTGGTATGCTTGTGAGAAAGTACTTCAAGAGAATGGAGCGAGGTCAGCAACGTGGGTCTGCAGTTAACAACAGATCAGGGCAGCAGAAAGAATTCAAGAGGAATGATAAGTCTGAGAAACAGTGTATTGAGTGTGAAGGCTATGGACACTACAAGGCTGAATGCCCGAATATGAAGAAGAAGAATGCACTGAAATGTTATGAGTGTAAGGGCTATGGTCACACCAAGGCTGAATGCCTAGGGAGAGACTGCAAAGAGAAATCGTATGTGACTTGGAGTGAGAGTGATACTGATGATGATGAAGGAAAATGAGAAGTGCTAAACAATTTTGTGGCATTTCTGGGCATCATTGAGGAAGGCGATGAGAGTTTTGGTGTGACAGCTCAAGATGATGTCAATCAGGTAGTTGGTGATGAATCAGAGGATGATGAAGCAAATCTTCCTACTGAAGAACAAGTTGCTCTCTTGATCAGGAGTCTGATGAGCAAGACAAAGGAGATCTCTGATCTAACCACCGTAAGAAATGAACTTAAATTGAAAGTTTCTAAGATATCCAAGGATCTTGAAGCTGAGAAAGTCAAGTCGCAAGGTCTTGAGAGGCAGTTGGAGGATCAACTCAGGAACATCAAGATGCTGAGCAAAGGGACTAAAGATCTGGACAAACTCCTAACCGTGGGACGAACGGCTAATGTCAACTGGGGTCTAGGGTATCAAGGTGGAAATTTCAATGGTACAACTAAGTTTGTTAAGGCAGCTCCACAGTCATCAGAAGCTACTCAAAGTAAGTCTGTTCCTCAGAAAAATCAGAGACGTGCTGTGTCCTCATTTAATCAGGAACAATCAGCTCATGTTCGAAAATCAAGAATGGCTTCTCACGAACAGGTTCAGTCAGCGTACGGTTCTGTGTTTCGTCTTCACCGTAGCAGAAAAACAGGTTGTTGGTACTGTGGTAATCTGAATCACTACAAGGCACAATGCTCTGGATTTTTGAATCGTGTGTCTGCAATGATGCAGCATCAGCAATATCACAGGGATTCAAAGAATACGAGCAGAATCTACATCAGAAAGGAAGATATGTACTGCATTGTTGCTTACACTGCTGATGAACAGGACTCAACTCAGGAGAAGTGGTATTTTGACAGCGGATGCTCAAGACACATGACTGGAGCTCAAGACAATCTGTCAGAGTTTACATAGGTTTCAGCAGGCAGAGTTACTTTTGGAGATGGTGCAAAAGGAAAAATCAAAGGAAAAGGTACCACAGGTGCTGAATCTCAACCAAGATTACATGATGTGTTTCTGGTTGATGGACTGAAGGCCAATCTGATTAGCATCAGCCAACTGTGTGATGAGGGTCTGAATGTAACTTTTACCAAGGCCAACTGCAAGGCGGTGGATCGACTAGGACGTGTTCAGCTCGAGGGACAGCGGTCTGGCAACAATTGTTACATGTGGAGTTCTGGTAACCCTTGCTTTCAAGCAGCTGTAGACTTTCAAACTGAGTTGTGGCATAAGAAATTAGGACATCTGAATGTTCGTACGATGTTGAGACTTGCACATCAGGAGGTTGTTCGAGGAATGCAAAAGCTAAAGGCTGATCCTTATTTTGTGTGCGTACCGTGTAACAAGGGCAAACAAGTGAAGGTTGCTCACAAATCGGTTCCTGATGTTCGTGCTGTTCATGCTTTGGAATTGGTTCACATGGACCTAATGGGACCAATGCGTGTCCAAAGTCTGACAAGTAAGCGTTTTATTCTTGTTATGGTTGATGATTTTACGCGCTACACATGGGTCCGTTTTCAACGAGAGAAATCGGATACTCTTGACAGTTTCAGAATTCTTGCTCTGCAACTCAAGAGTGAAAAATGGGGAATCAAGACAGTACGAAGTGATCATGGTGGTGACTTCCAGAATGAGTTGTTTGATCAGTTCTGTGCTGCTCAAGGGATAACTCATCAATATTCTGCTCCTCGCACACCTCAGCAGAATGGAGTTGTAGAGCGGAAGAACAGAACGCTGCAAAAATTGCTAGAGCTATGCTGCATGGTAATCAAGTCGCTCAACATTTCTGGGATGAAGCA